CACACACACACACACACACACACACACACATACACAGAGAGAGAGAGAGAGAGAGAGACTGGAGCGTCCATATGCACTTATGGTTAGCTTTATTTATTTATAGCTTTATGATTTGCTCAGGTCACTCAGACAACCAGGATGCAAGAGTAATAAAAGGGACCAATCCCAGAGAAACACAGCTTGCTTACTGTAACTATCCCCCTACATGAGGACTATTACTCTATTTCTACAAGTTTTAACATAGAGACGAGGATTTTCCAAATAAGGTTTGGAAAAAAGAAAGAAAGATAAACAGTAGAAATGGTAGCTCTGAGATTACCATTTAATACAATCCCAGAATAAGGTAAGCACAAAAAAAAATACTTCGTTAAAAGTTGGAAAAACACTATTGTCGTAGGCGACCTTCTAGTTATCTAGATTTGGGATTAAGGAAAAGACCTCAAATGCTTCGGGACACTTGGGAGCACCTGAGAAGAAGGAACAAGATGGATATGACTCAATGGGCTCTCATAGTGATAGCGAGAACCCAAATGGGGAGTAGAATTTGATATGAATTGTGATTTCGGATATGAGTTTCCCAATTTAGTCTAGGGTTATTTACTGCCTAGCCTGTTTATTATTACATAAGAGCAAGATACAAAATAGTCATATTAATCTTCACTGGGTTAATACAAAATATACACTACATACCCTCAGTTGCTATGGCCTACAAGTAGTTGGCCTGTAGTTTTAAGACCGTGGCAAAATAAATAAATAAATAAAAATAATTCTATGGATTAAGATAGATTTGGACAATGTGACCTGATAATCGAAACAAAACTTCACTATGTCCTCATCGGAATTAGAAGTCTAGTAGCTTAAAGACTTTTTGCCTGCAAAAATGAATATAAGGGATAGTGAAGCAAGAATGAGGCATATATTCAATTTTGGAGCCACTTTCTGAAACAACTAAACTTCTTGTTGTTCCCAGCAACCACCAACCCTAACAAATTTTTACTTTCGTTACATTTTTTTTCTTTTCAATAACCTTCCGGTGCTCTGCAAGTTGTTGTTTTCAAAACTGCCTCAGGCAAGTAAAAAAAAAAATGTTCTGCCCACTTGTCAAAGAGGTTTTTTTTTGGTTGTCGTCGTCTCAATCAGCAGACTTCAGAAATACATAAAAATCCTTACTGATGCTGCGGGGATGATTTCTAGATATTCAGCTTGATGTGCTTCACGGAAAAGGCAGATCTTAGCTAGCTAAACAGACCTGAGCACAGGGCAGGTTGTGACCGATAAATTGTATTGAATAAAAGGCTGTAAAGAAATGAAATTGTTTAGACAAAATAAAAAGCCAGCTAACAGGTGTTAAATTATGGGCATCACTTGCTTCAGTATCAGTCTGTCAGGAAATGTAATTGTAACAGTACATTGGAGGACTTGATCAATCTGTTCCAAAAGTCCAGGATTTGCATCACTGCCCTACCTTAATTTTGATGGCCTATGAAGTCAGCATGCTGAATCTCCCTTGATGAAAGAGCATGAGAACCAACGTACAAGGGCTGAAGCCTAATATCAGGATTCAAAATGTGCATAAAAAATCAATAAAAAGGCTAAGCGTTTCCATTTTAAAAAGCCAGATTACCTTTATCTTTATCTGCCCATTTCATTTGATTTTTTTTTTTTTTGGTGTTTAAAGATAAGGGGAAATGGGAAAAGGTTTTTTTTATTAGCATATTTTGTTCTTTAACGTAACTGGATGACTGCAAGCGCTCCCTTCAAAGCAGCACTGCATTTTCTGCTGAAATTAAATGTACAGTATTAATTATATAAATGCATAGTAAATACTGATTTTCTCCAGGAAAAAAAGAAATTCCAATGTAGAGTGGATACACAGTAAGTTCTACACATTCTATACAAAATTCTTTTGTGAGAAAAATAAACTCTTAACCTAAGTTATTAGGTTAATAAGTTACCTTGTACTGATTCTACTTTGACTAATATTGAAAATATAAATGATTTTTTACTGTTAGGACTGGTCTCTGCAACACTTTTAAATAAATAAATAAATAAATAAATAAATAAATAAATAAATAAATGAATGAATGAATGAAT